TTTCATTGGTTACACCGCCACCATTCACCTATTCTATAGGTCAAACAGTGGCTCCTGGATTAGTGCAGTGTACAAGAGGTGCAACAGACCATGGTAGCACTGAGACCCACAAGCCATAAAGAGCTCAAGAAATGGTAGACGCAATTACCACTATTGTTACTGTTCTTGTTCACATAATTATCATCATGGACCATGACAGCACGGTGTTCAGGGAGACAGGGGTCGCGCTTACCGATTATGCATCCCATAGCCCTGTGGTTGCACGCCGGCAGAGATGGCCACCACCAGCCCTGGGAGCCCGTAGCCAAAGGCACAGAAGTACCACATCTTGATGTTGCGAGAGCTGAAGTAATTCATCACCTTCAGGTTCCTGACCATTAGGAATAGCGTCACAGCCTCCACCAGCGTCCAGAAGAAGCAGGCCAGGAAAAGGTAGTGCAGGAAGCCTGCAATGATGGCACAGCCCGTCTGAAGAAGAGAAGTGTGCACACTCAGGACCCCCGCCCCCTCCAAGGGGCAGGTTCTCAGACACAGCGGGGCTGCTCCTTTGATTGAAATATCCCCTATTCAACCCTTTGGTAGGGGGAATCAGTAGTCCTCGCTGGCCTGGGACTGGTCTTTCCCAGGACATGGGACTTTTTAGTGTTTTGAGAAGAGTAGATAGCTGATCACCCCACTTCAGAGGATGTTTGAAGTTGTTGAGGGGGTGGGGGTGAGCACACTACAGCCATCGGTCTGGCTGCCTGTTTTGTAAATCACATTTCACTGGCACAAAGCCACATCCATTTCTATGTTTTGTGTGGTGTTTTCATGCTACAACAGCCAAGCTGAGTGGCTGTGACAGAGAGCCTGGATTCTGCAAAGCCAAAGATATTTATAACTGCTTCTTTAATATTGAAACCAACTTGATAATAAACTATTAAAATTTTTTTAAAAATAAAAAGAAAGAAACAGAAAACGTTTGGGGTGCCTGGGTGGCTCTTTCGCTTGAGCTTTTGATTTTGTCTCAGGTCATGATCTCATGGTTCTTGGGGTCGAGCTCTGGGTCGGGCTCTGTGCTGACAGCTCAGAGCCTGGAGCCTGATTCATATTCTGTGTCTCCCTCTTTCTCTGACCCTCCCCTGCTCATGTGTCTCTCTCTCTGTCTCAGAAATAAATAAAACATTTAAACTGATGAATGGATCAAGAAGATTTGGTGTATCTATACAATGGAATACTACATGGCAATGAGAAAGAATAAAATCTGGCCATTTGTAGCAACATGGATGGAACTTGAGGGTGTTATGCTGAGTGAAATAAGTCAGGCAGAGAAGGACAGATACCGTATGTTTGCACATATAGGGGGATTAGGAGGAAGTTAACGGAAGACAAAGCAGAAGAAGGGGAAAATAGTTGGGGAGAGTGAGGGAGGCAAACCATGAGAGACTCTTGAATGCTGAGAAGAAAATGAGGGCTGGTGGGAGTGGGGAAGGGGGGTGATGGGCATGGAAAGGGCACTTGTGGGGATGAGCACTGGGTGTTACATGGAAACCAACTTGATAAGAAACTATTAAAAATATTTAAAAAATAAAAATAGAAAACGTTTGCTCACTCCCGGTCAAATGATGGGAGGGACGAGTGCTAGTAGCATTGAGTTCTCAAGGGGTCCGAGAAGGAAAACATAGGACGGTGAGGGGGATGGTTCTGCACAAAGAACGATTGTCCCAGCCAAAATGCCAATAGTGCTCCTTCTGGAAAAACCCTAAGATCCTACTGTGTTTCTGGTATACTTCTAAGGGGTAAATTGGCCAAAGTTTCTGCTCTCATGGGGCTCACAGTCTAGTGTGTGTGTGTGTTGGGTGGGGGGCCAGGGCGGAGATACACAGCTAGTAAAAAGACAAATAATCAATATAGTTTCAAATAAAAGCTGGGAAAGAAAGCAAAATAGACTCGTAAGGGATAGAGTTTCGCAGTTGTGACATTATTGACATTTGTAACACTATTGCGAGATTATTTTTTCTCCTGGGGCTGTTCTGTGGATTGGAGGGTGTTTAGAAGCATCCCTAGTCTCCACTGGAGGTCAGTAGCTCCCTCTCCCAGGGATAACCTCCGATCAAGTCTCTAGATATTACTGAGTGTCCCGTAGAGAAAGAATCATCCAAGGCAAGAGCCAGTGGTTTAAAGAGTAAAAGGAGAGACCACCACAGTATATAACACGACCAGGGAAACAATTTTAAACTGACACCTATCACAAGAGTGCGTAAACCAGGTAAAGAATTGGGGAACAAGTATCATCAAAAGTAGGTATAGCACGTGCAAAGGTACTGAAGTGGGAACTAGCATAGAGATTATTGGGTAGGATGAGCAGGGGCAGATGTGGAGATGATGGGGCTGGGCGAGGACACAGCCTGAGGGATGTGAGACCTGGTTGTCAGTCTTGTCTACACCGGCGAGGAAGAGCGCCTTGGCCAAGAAGAGGCACACGCAGAGGTGCAGGTGGAGGTAGGTGTTCTGGTTGCGAATGGCACGACACAGGAGGAAGGTGGCGATGGCCAAGACGAGACACACCAGGGAGATGATCAAGCCCACGTGGCTAATGATGTACAGGGAGAACTCCGTCTGTCAGGAAACAGATACATCATTCAGAGAGGGGCCAACATCCCTCCAG